TGCTGGAGCAGTTTGGCTTGAATCTGCATCGGATCGAGAAGGATGTGCAGCGCTGCGATCGCAACTATTGGTACTTTGCCAGCGAGAATCTGGACAAGCTGCGCAATGTGATATCGACGTATGTGTGGGAGCATCTGGATGTGGGCTACATGCAGGGCATGTGCGATCTGGTCGCTCCATTGCTGGTCATCTTCGATGACGAGTCGCTCAGCTACAGCTGCTTCTGCAAGCTGATGGAGCGCATGATCGAGAACTTTCCCAGCGGCGGTGCCATGGACATGCACTTTGCCAACATGCGGTATCTATCCCCATCTATATCCATGCACTAGCGCTCTCTTTCTAACGCTCTGTCTCTCTCGCTCTCTCAGCTCACTCATTCAGATACTGGACTCGGAGATGTACGACCTAATGGACTCGAACGGGGACTATACGCACTTCTATTTCTGCTACCGCTGGTTCCTCTTGGACTTCAAGCGCGAGCTCATCTACGACGATGTCTTCGCCACCTGGGAGGTCATCTGGGCGGCCAAGCACATTGCCTCCGGGCACTTTGTGCTCTTCCTGGCGCTGGCGCTGCTCGAGACCTATCGCGACATCATTCTATCCAACAGCATGGACTTTACGGATGTCATCAAGTTCTTCAATGGTGGGCCCGAGCTATTTAAATAATTTATGTTTATTTATTGATAAATATTTTTGGTTTTCCTCTTGGAAAATTCTAGAAATGGCTGAGCGCCACAATGCCCAGTCGATTCTGCAGCTGTCGCGCAGTCTCGTCCTGCAATTGCAGACAATAATTGAGAACAAATAAGTAAAACGATTTGGAACCGGAACTGGAACGGGAACGGGAACTGGAACAGACAGTGGAATTCAAATTGGATTTGTGGCAACTGTGTGTATAATAAGTGTGTGCATGCCTGTCCGTATGCGTGAGTGTGTGTGTGCGTGTGAGTGTAGATGTGTGTCAGTGAGTGAGTATAGGAGAGTGTGATCCCCAGCAGTTGGAAACTAGCACATTGTAGGCTCAAGCAAGTTTAGTTTAGATCTCGGTTACCAGTCACACGCAATACAGATAGTATCCGTACTTCCTTGAACAGTATTGGAGAGTTACAAACATACAAACGTTATATATATATATACATATGGTATAGAGAGCACTAAAGTATCGCATACTATTGTAGGTCGAATGCAGGAGAAGGAATATACAAACGTTAGAGAGCACACAGAGAAACCAGAGAGGAGGCGCTGGCAAGGAAACTACATATATACATACATACATATATAGTTGCATGATTATGTGTGTCTAGAGACTTAAGTAACTCGAACTGTAATTGTAGCTGTAAACTGAAACGGTAGCGCTAACTGTCACAGTAGCTGTATAGAATGCACCGTTAGGACACCGAACGCTCTTGGGGCAGTTGTTAGTTAATTATCGGTTATCGTGTTTCCTTGAACGCTTATCGGCTATCGATTCTGATTTATCGTTTATCGATCGGCCATTGTTCCGCATTGAACGAGTATTGCCCATGGATCATGGACAATTCTGCAATTTACTGGCTGGGAATCGTTTTAAAATTAAAAAAAAAAAAGAAATATATATGCATAACAAAAATATTATAAAATTCATAGAAAGGAAAGAAAAAATAAAATTGATTAAGTCAAAGACAAAACGTAACGAAACTAAGCCGCAAAGAAATGTAGTGACCTGAACAAAAAAAAAA